TATTTTTTTTACAAATAAATAAACAAATTTTTTATTATTATTATTGATTATTTAAAAAGGAATATTCCTTAACAATTCGTGAATCAATATTTAACAGAAATTTTATTTATTTGTTCAAAATTCTTATCTATAACTAACTAAGCTTTTTTTGAGTACTGGACTGTGACAATGGATCCATATCAATCATGTTTGAATATGTATACTTCATAGAAAATTTTACATATTTGCACTTAAAGTTTTATACAGACCTACTTGAAGTAAATCTCGATTAAAGCACTTAATTTAAATCTCATTGCTTCGTATTTTAATCAAAAAATGTTAACTGATTTTTAATTAACTAAATTATTTAGTGATATGTATATAAAAATATTTACAACTATATATTATATACTATATGAATTTCAACAAATGTATATAGAAATTTAGAGCGTTCTTTAATATTTTGTGATAAACCACAATATGATTACCACAATATGTATAAATATACATATATATATACAAATATTTATATGTATATAATAAAACTTATTAGAAAATAATGAATGACTGATTAATGTTTAAAAATGTGTATTTATCTAAACAAAAAAATAACCAATGACTGATTAACTTTTTAAAGTGTGCCTGAGAATGTATGAAACGTTAAGACTTCTCTAAACCATGGTGGCATGAACGATGTTATCAATCTTATCAATTTTTTGATAATGATATTCCTATTAATGCCACTTAAAACGTGTCAACCACAAGTATCTCATTGGCTATTAAATGGCTTTAAAACATATAATATTTATCTATTTTATATGCTTTTTATTTGTTTTAAAAATTAATTAAAAAGTATACAAACAAAAAGATTATTAGAAAGATTATTATTTAGGCACAACAAAAATGTATTTACACTAATAAAATAAATTAAAATTGGTAAAATTTGCAACAAATATCGCAACAAAAATCTTAAGTTTTTTATAAAAATCAATTAATCGAAATTCCCATTTTTGAGGAACGCCAAAATTTTAGTATAAAAGTGAAAGTGTCTCGGTATCAAAATTAGTTATTAAACATAATGAAATTAATTTGGATCTTAGCACTTTTCGCTGTATCAGGTAATAAAATACATATAAAAATAATTTACTAAAATCTCAACAAATAATACTTAATAATTCTATCTAGTCTCGGCATATCCTCTCGAGGATGATACACACATCAACGGTGAAAACGGTTGGTATGTGCCACAAATAGATGGTTCCTTTGTTTGGATGGACAAAGATGAGGCTGAATCCAAATTGGCTGAATTAGAACAACAGGAGACATTAGAAGGACGCGCTCTTACAACTGTACCAGTGAAATACTATTTGTACACCAAATCTAATCAATACACTCCACAAGAAATCACTGCAACCAAAAAATCAATTACTGGCTCTCATTTCAATGGCAAGAACCCAACCAGGTAAATTACTTTTTATAAATTGTGAATTTAAAGACCAAAAAATTAATATAATTATTAATTGTATATTAATAGATTCGTTATACATGGTTGGACTCAGAGCTACAATGATCCAATGAACTCCGGTATTCGTGATGCTTGGTTGAGCCATGGAGATCACAACATCATTATTGTTGATTGGGGACGTGCACGTTCTGTTGACTATGCCTCCTCTGTTATAGCTGTACCTGCTACTGGCAAAAAAGTCGGCAGCATGATTGAATATTTGCACAAGAGCCATGGCATGTCTCTAGAAACTTTGGATGTTATTGGTCATAGTTTGGGTGCTCATGTTGCTGGTTATGCAGGTAAAAGTGTAACCTCCGGTGAAGTGCACACCATTGTTGGTTTGGATCCTGCTTTACCTCTATTCAGTTATGACAAGCCAGATAAGCGTCTAAATTCAGAAGATGGTTTCTATGTTGAATCCATTCAAACTGATGGTGGTAAACTTGGTTTCTTGAAACCAATTGGTAAAGGTGCTTTCTATCCAAATGGCGGTAAGTCACAACCAGGTTGTGGTATTGATGCTACTGGTAGCTGTGCACATGGACGTTCCGTTACATACTACATTGAAGCCGTGAAAGAAAATGATTTCCCCACCATGAAGTGCGGTAATTACGAGGAAGCCGTAGCTAAATCATGCGGTAGCTCATACAGTTCCGTACGTATGGGTGCTGTTTCTAACGCATACATGGTTGCTGGAGATTTTTACGTACCTGTCAACAGCAAAGCACCTTTCGGCAAAGCTGCTTAATTGAATTTCAAACTATTTCATCATTTTTAATAAAGTAATAAACAATAAAACCTTACACAAACCTTTTTTAATTTGTCTTAGATAATAATAATAATATTGTATTGAGGTATACACTATAAGCACCTTTTCTATAGTAGCGCAATTTCAAAGCCCCTATGATTGATGGCAATAAACAATAGTGAATTAAGTTTTCAATAAAATTTATAAACATTGATACTTATCTTTTTTTAAGTATTAATAAATATATATTTAGAGGCCCTATGCTCCACTGGGAGAAGAGAACTGCAATAGTAGTAGCAATCAATATATTTACATTTTTCTAATACCTACCATATATTAAATTTTCAAATCTTGCATTTTTTAGAAATAAAAGTTTCTGTTGTATTCCATATTGATATGTGTTTTCTATATAATAGAAGTATTATCATAATTTATAAATTGTTAATAATAAAATGATCAAATTAATAAAATTAATAAAGACACTTTGTCCACAATACATCGTTTAAATTTATACTAAATAGAAATTGGAATTATTCTGAAGCAATGATTTTATTCCAGAAGTGATTCGCATTATCATCCACTCAGTATTTATAGAGTGACTTGGCAATTGATCACTACGTACGAAATAAACTTTCTATTTATATGAAGATGGTGAAATAAAAATAAAATGAAATTAAGTTAAATTTTATTATTTCCAGAAATTTAATAAATATAATAAATTAATCTGCAGGGTTAATCCCGTTGACTTTATTAATAAAATTTGATATGAGATTTAAAAAAAATATTTTTCAGATTTATATTTTATTGTTAGAGTCACTATACTTTTCTAATTAACAAAAAATCAGATTAATACTGAAAACTATACTGAAAGAAAAACATTGATTATAATAGTAGGAAATGTAAAGTTACCATATAACACATCTTCAAAGGAATAATAAGAAAATTGAAGAAAATCTGTAACTCCTAAACATCCTTCTCTTTAAAGACATCTCTTTAAAGACAAATAGACTTAAGTCGCTTGGAAAGAGTTCTACCACGAATACTCTTTAATATAAACTTCGCTTTGATTGAAATATTCCGTATTTGAAAGAAAATATAAGAGTACCAACTGATTGTTTTAATATAGTCAAATACATATTCATTGAATTGATAAACTTATGATAAGGGCATTATAGAATGAGATACAAAATTTTGTTCTCCAAGTATACAGACTGACAAAACATCACAGAAAATTTTCCGTTGCTTCAGATTCTACTATGTAAAGTAGACCTGAAACTAAAAGTAATCTAAACAACTTAAACTTAAGTTAATCACATTAATTTTCAATTTATCTAAAAAGAATCTAACACGTTCCATTTATAATATAAAGATAATAAATTATTATATTGTAATTTTTATTGTGTATATACTTTTAGTAGTTGTTAAAAAATAATGTTTACTCACACGAGATAAAATCAATGCTTATCATTTTAAGAAAACCCATTTTTTTACACTCAAGTATTCCATATTAAAATACTCCATATTTTCTACAAGAAAAGAGTATGCTTTGGATTTTTCAGAGTTCTAATACCCTTCACACTAATAAATAGCAATCCATTATTAAATTTAAGGCAACCAAATTCTTTCCAGTGACTTTCCAACTTTTATTTTCCTAAAATCTATATGTTCCCGAATGCGTCAAGTGATATTATTTATAAACTGCTTGAATAAAGAGAAAGTAGCTATAAAAGAAATTTTTTCATGAAATGAAATGAAAGAGTGAAAGTTTAAGCTATCGATATCTTAAGAAGCAGCTGGATATAGCATTTTGTTGTAATTAGTAGCATGTATCGCATCAAGTGACGTCAAGACTGGTGTCAAACTTCCTGGATAAACTAAATCTGCTTGGCGAATCAAATCAGGTGTCGATTCTTTGGGTACCGGGACATACTGGCGTACGCGGAAACGAATACGCGGACAAGCTAACCAGAAAAGGAGCAGCCACACCGATGATGAGGCCGCAACCTTTTTGTGGACTGGAAATAATATGCTCCTTTCTCTCTTAAAAATAAAGGAGAACCAGAATAAAAAGGACTACTGGGATAATATACCAGGATTAAAACAATCCAAATCATGTGCTTTTAGAATGCCATGCGCTAATGCACATACGGTATAGAATCCTAGGAATATATATTATTACGGAAGAGGCAATAAAACTCTGTAAAATAGGTCCTATACTACTTTTTATAGATGCAACAGGGCCTAAAGACCTACCCTAAGCCCAGAAGGGAACAGAATAGACCCGATGGTGGCAGTGCCACATCCCCTAACAATAATAATAATAATAGTACCATGTATATTTTGTGTAGTCTCAGATATCTCAGTCACCACTTTACTAGCATCTAGGCAAATTTAATATACCTTTATTGACAACAGTGTGAAGGGTATAAAACAAGTTTATTAAACTAAACTATTTCTCAAATCAATTTCTTATTTTTCACTAAGATAATAAGATGGAAATTCCTTTCTCTTCCCAATCAATTGCAATTATATTCGCCAAAATACGAAGATAACAATCTCTAACTTACTTGCGCAAATAATATTCTATTTACTTCAAGCCTTTAAAACTTTGTTGTTTATACATTTTATCAAAGTGATTTTCAAAACAGATAACAACTTATTTTAATCCAGAATAATGTTAGAAAAACAAAATCAGCTGTTTCAACACAACACTATCTCAAGTACTTAAGTATCGCATAAGCCAACCAATTGTTGTCTTCTTCGTATATAAACGCCATACGGCAAGAATGTCTTTTAGTTGAAATATTTTCTCCTGAAAAATGAAACTTCTTTGGCTCTTGGGCATATTTGCAGTTACTGGTAACATAATAAAATATAAATAACAACAAAAATATTTAAAAAAAAATATCTAAAAAATAGTGTCATCACTTCCTGTTGAGGACACACGCGTTAATGGCGAGAATGGTTGGTATATACCACAAATAGATGGCTCCTTTGTTTGGATGGACAAAGAGGAGGCTTTAACTGCACTTGAACAGATGGAAGAAATTGAAGGACGTTTAACGACTGTTCCAGTTAACTACTACTTGTACACAAAAGCCAACCAATATACACCACAAGAAATCACTGCCACAAAAAAATCAATTGATGCATCCAACTTCAATCCAGCTAATCCAACAAGGTTCATTAATAATAAAATATTCAAGAAGAGTAATTATTAAAAATTTTTTAATAACTCTATTAATTATAATAGATTCACCATTCATGGTTGGACTTCAAGTTATAAAGATGGTATGAACAGCGGTATTCGTGATGCCTGGATGAAACATGGTGACTACAATATTATTGCCATTGATTGGGGACGTGCACGCTCTATTGACTACGCTTCATCAGTTTTAGCTGTACCCGCCACTGGCAAAAAAATTGCCGGTATGATCGATTTCTTACATAAAAACTATGGTATGTCCTTGGATACTTTGGAAGTAATTGGTCATAGTTTGGGTGCTCATGTTGCTGGTTTCACTGGCAAAAATGTTGAATCCGGTCAAGTCCACACAATTGTTGGTTTAGATCCTGCTTTGCCTTTATACAGTTTCGATAAACCAAGCAAACGTTTAAGCTCTGATGATGCTTTCTATGTTGAATCCATTCAAACCGATGGTGGTCAACTTGGTTTCTTAAAACCAATTGGTAAAGGTGCCTTCTATCCTAATGGTGGTAAATCACAACCTGGTTGTGGTGTTGATTTAACTGGTGGTTGCTCACATGGTCGTTCCGTTACTTATTATGTTGAAGCCGTCAAAGACGATAATTTCCCCACCATGAAGTGTGGTAACTACGAACAAGCTGTTGCTAAATCATGTGGCAGCACTTACAGTACCGTTCGTATGGGTGCTGTTACCAATGCCTACATGGTTGCTGGTGATTATTATGTACCTGTGAATAGCAAGGCTCCATATGGCATGGCTGCTTAAATGTTTTTGTTGAGACATAATGGAAACTGAGTAAAAATTGACTGATACAAATAAAATTTTGATTATTAAGTTTTGTGTTAATTAATTGTATTGTGGATACCTGAAGATTTTAGTCTGTTTAGAAGAATGTTATTAATTAAAACAGATATAAAATATCTACTATATCTTAAACTATATGTTTTAGTGAAATTTTTAAATAATTCATTTAGGGGACTACAAGAAATTTTTACTAAATAATACTCTATGGTATATTAATGTTCTTTTTTTAGACATGCAAAGCAGACATGAAAATTTCCTTAATGATAACTGGTTTATTGGTTAATATTCCTTTTAAAATTAATCATAAGCTTTTCTATGAATAATAGTTAAAATCGTACACTTAGGTCTTCAGTTCTTTTACATAGCTATAAAGGGATAGTCAGCAAACCATGCAGGGATAACTTCAGACCTTCTCTAACAGCTACCTTTGTAATAACTCAAATATATGCTAGTGTTAGCGAGTGGCAAATCACATAATGATAGGGGAAATATATTACAAGGGAAATACAGAAAAAAAAATTGAATGTTAATGTAATAACTACATTTGCAATTTTTTTAAATGGTGGTCTTGGCGATTACAATGGACTGATCATAGGGGAGATCATTAATTAAGATAAAATATTATTATATTCTCGAGAGCTATCATCATCACTAAGAACACATGCCATATTTTTTTCTACATTGCTTTATGATATGGAAGAGTGGAGTTGTTCTATCAATAAATCAACGTCTGTTTTATCCAAACCAGTTTGACGAAGCATATATAAATTGGAAAGTACTTTCACGAGGTAACAAAGAAAAATAGACATTAAAGGTCTTAGTCATATCGTAAGATACCAAAAAAATACAATCCATTTAGAATGAAATGAATGATGAAATTAAGAAAGACTCGACACTGGTATATGAAGGATATCGTGACTTAAAGATTTAAGGCAATGCTTTTCATTAATTCTACTTTAGTAAAAGTACTAGATCACGAATTTAGTACTTGAAAGAAAGTATTATGAAAATAAAATGTTTATAAAAGTAATGCATGTCCCATGGCAATATATTTCTCTACAGTAAATATCTTATTGAAATATAAACTTACTGTGTAAGTAAAAGTATACTTTGACTACACATATAGTGAACTTATTATTATCACCACTAGAGATGACCTTAACTAGCAATACCGAATACTTTAGATATTACAAAAACACCAGTAACAGATAGTTTAAAGATTTTTTCAAACTATATATTTTTTAAAATTTTATCACCAGCTAAAAATTGCACAAGACCAGGCTCTGAGAAGGCTTTTCAAAGTTCCACGATACATTAGGACGAATGATCCTCAGGGACATCAAGATTGATCCCATCAAAAAAATTAATAAAAAAGGATAGAGACCTGAAATTTTTTGCGAAAACTGATAGTCTTACCAACACCGCGTTATCAAATCTCAAAATGGTTACAGGTTCCTCGGGAAGGTATGCAAATCTGAGGTCAATTATTGATTAGTCTAATGAAGTGATGAACTATAATCTAGTCAAGGTATAAAGAGGGGTTTTGAAAATACCTCGAGTTAAAAAAGAGCTTGAGTGCACTAGCTCAAAACAGCTTCAACATAATATTATCGATTTGCATTTCAAAGACATATAAATATATAAATATTACATTAATATCCAAATTACATTTTAGTAATGCCTACTATCAAAAAATTTACTATTATTTGATTCAATCTATTTTTGTTATAACCCTTACTTACTAAGGAATTATTTTTTCAGTAGCTAACAGACAAAATTGCTCAATTTACTGAAATTAGAAAATATTTTCAAGTTTATTATAGCTTTAAATATGAAATAAATTAGTTCAATTTGCGCTATTCAAGTTCTGTCTACGAACTTCTACACAAATTGTTCAAATAATTTTAAATCAAAGAAATTTAAATATTACAGACACCAAATTATATTAAATTAAATTTCCAAAATGTGCAAAAGTTGAAGAACAATGAACCAACAAAACATTTAAATTAATTTGAAGAACTTCCACAAAGCTGTATCGATATCCATGCCATAGTATTTAATATATAGCACTTCCAAAGTTAAGACCTAACTCAAACAATGTTTAATAGTCCCAGAAGTCAGTAACCACAGTTAGCTGTATCTCACTTCTTTTGATGTTCAATTGCGCTTGAAAGTGTTTTGTATTACATTAAATCTAATTAAAAGTCTCCCATAGAGCTGTGACGTTAGTTCGGTTACTGGATTAAACATTTTTTGCAATAGATACAGTAGCAAATGAGAATACTTGTAAATATATGTGACTTACTCACTATTTACATACTTCATATACATACCACATATTGCCTACATACATATAAGGAAAATAAGTTATCGTCATTAAAACGTGCTGAACAAGAAGAAAGGATAATATCAGTGTATTTGAAGAAAATGCATGAAAGACGCCATGAAATGTTTATTATCAGTTGCACACAAAGTATATGAACACTTAAATTACAGTCACAAGTATTCACGTATAGACGAATGTACACATCTTATAATATATTTGTGAATGCTACTCTGTCCAAGTACCACAGTGCGTATGAGTTACTTAATAAAACGATGTTCATGTCAATTTGATATGTGCTTTACGTCTTTTTAATGTACGTTTTTATTAAGGAAATAGGAAGATACAACAAAGGCTACATGCTTTGACATCACACACATTTCCATACATATATAGTTATATATACACACATGAGTGAATATTTATACAGAAAAATATTGTTATGTAGAAAGTATTAAGATGAATTTACAGCATTTGCCCAGCTTAATTTCACAAGGAAGAAATCGGAAATTACATATTCTGTGTAAACTCACCACAGCGATACCTTAAGGACTACACAAATTTATTATTTAAAGTCCTTTTTAATTTTGTATCTTTAATATTTTGCTTTCTTCCGCAAATTACACATTTAACAAAGTGTAATAACCTGACGCCATGTTCACTTTGTCTGTAGCTAAATGAGGTTTCAGTGATGTTGAAATAAATATATAACAAATATCAAAAGTAGAACGTTTAATCATTAAGATATCACGCAAAAAAAAAAAAGTATCTCAATCAAATTGGGATGGTATCAAATTTGCATATTCTTACAATGGATTTTGTACGTGTATTATGTGCTCATTATTATCATAAAACACGTGCAGGAAACAGATAAAAATAAGTAGGAATGAGTTGATATAAACGTATAAGCGTTTATTTTTCCATTTCCAAATTAGAAAAGTAAAAATTGGAAATTTTTAAAAGTGGAAAAAAAGGTGAACAATTTATTAAGAAATTTTTTTCATAGCTTTCCTTGAAGAAAAATTAAACACATATTTGAAAGATAATTTATAATGTATATATTCAACAAAATACGCTTATATATAATAACAGCATATATTAGAAAAGTTATGAAGTCAAAAATTAGAAATTAAATTCATTTTCTTTAAATCAAGAAAAATTTTGTGTTCTGAAGAGAGTTCAATATAGTCGCACAAACCAAAAAAAAGTATTTAAACTCTTTACCGAAAAGAATGATAAAATAATTCTTGCATTCTCTAATATCCACAGAGGACATTATACTTAGTTATAAAAGTAAAGCATCGCTTAGAATACTAGTCTTTGCCCCTATATTTGAAGTGGAACTGATAGCAATTAAGGTTGTCGCTGACAAAATATTGAAATTATATATATCAAAATTCTTCACCAGGATAGCCAGGAAACTATCAAAAGCTTATAGTGTTCGTATCTTATCTTGCACATATCAATAAACTGTGTAGGCACAAAAATATACTCGTCGTCTATTCACTATATTAAGATATACTGACTACCATAGGTAATTTAAAATTGAATTATCTCATTAGATGTTCTAGGTCATTAGACGTTAATGAATTATTTTAGTTATATTCTAGGTATTTACTTTTCTAAAATCACATGACGAAAGTCTAGCTATCAATAAACCCACCAAGAACTAGGAAAATAAGTAAGTGAATCAAAATCGGGAGGAACCAAAATCGGCTATATTATAACACTGTAACCGATAATTACATACTGATAGGACTTAAAGTTCAAAATCAAATATATTTTTGAAAAAAATCAACTTAAAGTATTTTGTGAAACTTTATGATTTAATTCAGCGATTTGCATGATGCAAAACTATATGATTATTTTAAATAGACTGCGTCAGATGTCATACAGGATGTCAGCCGTTCAATAGTCAATCAAGCCGTTTAGATAATTTTGAAACTTTTTCCTTTCTTCAACAAATACATTTCTCCAAAGAGGTAAGACTCACACGGTAACAATACATGGAATAGGAATAACCTTACTGATGTGTGATAATTGCTAATAGATGAACTAATTAGAATATTTTTCCAAAGAACTTATTACATTTGAGAGCATTTTATATATTAGCAAACATAAAGCTGCAGAAAGAATGAATCTTTGGTTATGATTCAAAATTTAATGTTTAAGTTAAATTATGCATTGCATATATAATTTTAAATTTCACTTAATTTTATTAGAAAAGTGTCAATTTTAACTTTCTTAACAGTTTCCGCCAAAAAACAATAATTTTGTTTGAATGAACCAAAAGGCTTCAATATTCTTATTTATTTTAATGGCAAAAGTTTATATCTCATACCGTGAGAAATCTATTATAGAAGTACACATTCTATGCCTTAAATACAGAATATATTAAATGCATTACAATTGCTGTAAGAAATGTTGATTTCGTAATACTTAAGTAGCAAATAAAGATATTTAATTTTTGTTTATTCAAAGAAAAAAACAAAGCCATTAAAATGGCTATTGTATAAAGTATTATATAGTGCGTTATATGTATATATTTTCCTTTCCCAAAAAAACTCATATTTTTTAACTCCTTAACAAGATATGTACCTAGAAGATGTTTCGACACAGGTTTGGTGTGAGATTTACTTTACTACTTATAACTTCAATTCATTGAAGAGTCATATGACTTACACATTAATTACATTGATTTTTATAA